GTTGTTTTTCGCAAAATACCACCTAATAAATTGACTGTTGAAGTCTATTTAAGACTATTTGCTGTATAGGTGTTAAAAGAGATGTGAGTTATTGGGGGACAGAAGAGCATGAGAGCATTCGTAATTCCTCTTTGGGTTTTGGGTGCCGATTTTATGTATTGAACGGTGACATGAACAAGGAATCAAGACGCTTATCGTGGAGATGTTAGGTAGCTACTTGCTGATCAGCCGTATGAAGTATTTTGGGGGCTGTTTTTATCAGGTTATTCATTAAAGGTCTGTGATATGATATAACGAAAGCGGTCGGCCTTGATTATTGTAATAATCGTTGTGGTGCAGGACTACCAACTGCCAATACTGCTCCTGATTCTCGCCTATTTTGGCATTTCCTTACCCAGGTTTCCCCGATCCCAAGAGGTTGATAAGTATGTGAAAATACGAATTAGTCGTGAGGGATAACAGTAAGGTAGCTAGAAGCATGGAGATCACTGCCCCTTCACATCTGGCAATGCGATCCTCTAGTTGCAATATACTTCCAAAAAATGATGGCTGTTAATCCGCATACATAAGTGTCCTTTAGAAAAATGGCAAAGGCTGGGGAGGAACAGGGAGCTAACTCGAACGTCTCTTGGCTTTTGCTCTCTGATGTGCCACCGAACACTTTGATAGGATTGGACACTAACGTATGGACAATTGGTCCCAACTTTCGTGGCATTCGTGACATCCCTCTGGGAATACATTACCTCTTCTTTAACGCGGCTGCAAATAGTTCGGATGGAAAACCTGTCTCTGGGCCTCGATGCAGCCTTTTCCTTGATCTCTCTAGACCTTGCGTTGTCAAAAAACGCTGGGTCAAGGAGTCTGAGGAGTTTGTCGACTTGCCCGGCAGCGAAGGCGACGTTAACTTGATGAGAGAAAACCAGTCTGAAATGCAAATTTATCTGGTAGCCTATCCTAAAGAAAGGTAAGCGTTGTGTTACTAAGTAGTGTATCCATTACACTATAAAAAGTACTTAACTTTATTATGTAGATTTGCTAGCTGGGTAGCGCTTTCCTCGTACATCACGCTAGATACGGTGGCTAGACTACAACCTTCAGGTAGATATATCTACTCCTGTCCTCTATTTCTGTCTAAACAATCAACAAGTCGTGATCGAGCCTCCCTGACTATCCCTACGCGTTTGTGGCGTGATTGCGAAAACGTTACAGCTCCAGAATCAATTGCCAAAGGGGAGGAGCAATTGCCAGCCTTAAAGACGCTTCCGGAGACTGAAGTAAGATTTATTTTAGCGGTTACCTCCAGATATTAGTTACATTGGACTGAACTGCCCCAGCATCCACTCTACCCACCAGGGTCGTCACCAGCACAGATAAGTCAATACAATATGGATCAAACCTACACTCTTGATCACATTATCACACAGCTGGAATGTTCTGGAGAAGGAAAGTCATCAGCCAGTGCACTGATGCCTGCCGAGGCTCGTCTGCTTGGCGAGTTTCACTTTGCATTTGTTGTTTTCCTCCTTGGTAAGCCAATATATTCGTCCCATAAGTAATTGATCCCAATTTAGGAGAAGTTTTGGAGGGCTGGTATCAGTGGCGGCGTCTTCTTTCCCTACTAGCGAACTGTGAGCGTGCAGTGGTGGAGAGACCGCGATTCTACAAAGCCCTCATAACGAGCCTCTACCGCCTTCTTATGTACAGTGGCAGCGACGAAGTAGCTTTTAGCCATGGCACAGAAGTCAACGTGGCGGGACTCTTTCAGGTGGGCTCAGAATGCAAGGGAGGGGGTGGTCTTCTGGCCCATTTCGACGAATGGCATGCTTGCCGAAACGAACCCACTTTTCTGCCGCACACGTTGACGCGACTCTTTGGTAACATCGCCGAGGCAGTAGCAACAGTTTCGTCAGACCGAAGTCGAATGGTGGAGGACCTATTAAGTCGCGCAGAAGGTCTTCGCGTTTGCCTTGAGCGACGCTTTAGGGTTCGTCTCTGCGGTCATCGAAATTCTGCTGGGGATGACGGCGGCCTGCCGGCTGAAGAGGTGGACTGGGATTCCGATGAAGCTCCTGTTATTGTCTGTGAATAGAATTCACTCCGTGCGTGTTCCTCGCAAGACCGCACACTCACCCTTAACGAAAATGATAGTGCTAATAGAATTTTATTTGTGTCGTATAAATCGGACTCATTACGGTTTTAATGAATTCTACTAAATAGTTGCCCTACTAATGGTCGTCTTTTTTCATACAGTTGTACCAGTGCTTGTGCGCGGAGACTTTGCTGCTTCATATCTGCTACAGGGAGCTTGGTCTGTGGTGTGATCCGCTGTATTTTTAATGGGAATTTGTCAAAGATCTCAAACCGTGCGACCTGGTTCTGGTCTGGAAGGAATGACAACGCAAATTAGCTTTATTTATGGAAGCAGGGAGGAGTAATAAAATAAGGGGTGGGGGTGGATGGTTCTGATTGCCGTGGAGGCATCATCTTCATAGCGACTTTCGACGCTTAATGGGTTTCACGTCCTGACTTTTCCAGCGTCGGTAAATGTAGCATGACCCAAAGTATATCGTCAATACTGTGGTGGCGATCACCCATATAATTAATAACCAAGCGAACCAGGCGAGTTCGATCCAGTAAGACATCAAAACGCAGCCAGCCAACGAGTGAATGGTCAGGTCGATCAAGAATCCAGGCTGATTGTGTTGACACTAAAGGATCCTAAGACACTCAATGACCGTATGAACTATGGTCATATGATCAACTGCAGAACGTTTCATACAAATGGCCCATGTTGACACTGCATGATTAAGCTTGTACAAGTTTATATTTCGCAGTAGGAGTTTCCTTTGATAAAGGACTTGTTCACCTAGCCCAACCCATAGGTAATTACAAAATCAACAGAAATATTTGGCTACCTTTGGAACTCAAACATGTGATGATAATCATTTCGTTATAATGACATATTCATTTTACTACTTTTA